TATTCCCATCCCAGCCTTGGCCAGGCAGGCCCCCGAACTCAAGAACGGCGCTCTCGCTCGACTTCTGCTCGTAATTCGGGTATGTTGGTGGAGACCCAAACACGACGACAAGGGTTCCCGTTCGACATTTCTCAAGATGTATTCCGAGAGCCCCTGGCCAGAGAGGCCGTCGAATTCAGGAACGGCGCTCTCGCTCGAGACTTACTCATAAGGCAGGCAAGTTGGTGGAGGCCCAGACAAGACGACAACGGTTCCCTTCCGATATTTCTCAAGATGTTTTCCGAGAGCCCTTGGCCAGAGAGGCCGTCGAACTCAGGAACGGCGTTCTCGAGCTGGTGTAGGCCTAGCCACGATGACAAGGGTTCCCGCCTGATCCTTCTTCACGATTTGCTTCGAGAGGCCTTGGCCAGAGAGGCTACCGAACTCAGGAACGGCGCTCTCGCTCGAGACTTCTCCGTAATTCAACCAAGCTGGTGGAGGCCCAACTACGACGATAAGGGGTCCCGCTCGATGATTCCTCCCGATGTACTCCGAGAGGCCCTGGCCAGAAAGGTCACCGAGCTCCGAAACGGCGCATGCATGCGCGTCGTGGCACCGCTGTCGCCCTTCGTGGCCCCCTCGCTGCCCTTCGTGGCCCCGTTGCTGCCCTCAGTGGCCCCATCCTTGCCCTCTGCGGCCCAATATACGTATGCCAGTCGTGGCCCCCGCTCGTTCGCGCCCGTTGTGGCCACATATGCATGCCCTTCGTGGCCCCTCTGTCGCCCTTTGTGGCCCCCTCGTTGTCTTACGTGGCCCCGTTGCTACCCTCAGTGGCCCTGTCCTTGCCCTCTGGCCCCACATTCTCTGCCTTTCGTGGCCCCCGCTCGTTCGCGCCCTCCGTGGCCCCTGTACGCATGCCTTTCGTGGCCCCGCTGTCGCCCTTCGTGGCCCCCTTCCTGCCCTTCGTGGCCCCGCTGTCGCTCTCGCTTGCGCTCGTCGTCGTCGTCGTTGTCGTCGTCGTCATCGTTGTCGTCGTCGTGGTCGGTCCCCTGTCCGTCCCTCTTGGGGTCGGGCTGCCGCCGATCAGCGGTGCCGCTGGCCAGGCCGACGGTCCGCGGCCGCCCCGCCGCTTGCCGGGGCCAGGCCTACAGGGAAAAAAGCTAGACACCCAGAAAAGAGTGATCGAAGACGAAAAGGGCGGGGATCGAGGACTTGGGAAATACACGTTGGATGACACTCGAGCAGATAAGAGCGAACAGTATTGAAATGATGTGTTGTTGTTTTTGTTGTTGGTTTCTCATTTTAAAATCGTGATGGTGGTGCATTGTTCAAAGAAGGTGTTTCTCCCAGGGTTCGCACATGGTTCTTAACAAGGGAAGGCGAGGGGTCACCAAAATTGCTCCGGTGGCCCTGCTGTAGTGATATTGGTACCAGTCGTACCCTTAGTCCGACTACGAGTGACAATGTTTCAACGACTACTGTTCGCACTAGTAAATCGGAGGTGAGGGGGTGAGATCGAAGTGGAACGGAGAGCCCCCCTACCGGGAAATCGATTTCGGTTTCGTGTTCGTGCGTGCCGTGCGGGCGAGGCGAAGCTGCGTGGGCGGGCGAGAGAAAGTCTCCTGTGGCTGAGGCGCGGCCGGACCAAATGACTCCCTTCCGGGCGGCGGGCGGGTGGCCCGCGGTGTCCCGCCGATGTCCCGCTGGTGTCCCGTGTGGCTGAGGCGCGGCCGGACCAAATGATTCCCTTCCGGGCGGCCGGTGGCCCGCGGTGTCCCGCCGGTGTCCCGTCGGTGTCCCGCGGTGTCCCGCGGTGTCCCGCGGTGCCCCGCGGTGTCCCGCCGGTGTCCCGCGGTGTCCCGCGATGATGATGATGATGATGATGATGATGATGATGATGATGATGATGATGATGTGATGATGATGATGATGATGGTGATGCTGATGCTGATGCTGATGCTGATGATGCTGATGCTGATGATGCTGATGCTGATGCTGATGATGATGATGCTGATGATGATGCTGCTGCTGATGATGATGATGACGGATGATGATGATGGTGATGCTGATGATGATGATGAGGACGATGATGATGATGATGATGATATGATGATGGTGTCCCGATGATGATGATGATGATGATGATGATGATGATGATGATGATGATGTCGATGATGATGATGATGATGACGATGATGATGATGATGATGCTGATGGTGTCCCGATGATGAGGATGATTATGATCATGATGAGTATGTTGATGATCATGATGATGACGATGATGCTGTCCCGATGATGATGAGTATAATGATGTTGATGTTGATGATGCTGATTCTGATTGTGTCCCGATGATGATGATGATGATGATGATGATGATGATGATGTTGACGATGAAGAGGTTTATGATTATATGGCGTCCCGATGATGATGATTATTATGATGGTGATGATGATGATGATGTTGATGATGATGGCGTCCCGATGGTGATGATGATGATGATGTTGATGCTGATGTTTTGTAATGATGATGATGGTGCCCCGATGATGACGATGATGATGATGCTGATGATGATGTTGATGATGCTGATGATGATGATGATGATGTCGATGATGAGGATGAGATGATGATGATGGTGTCCCGATGATGATGATGATGATGATGATAATGATGATGATGATGATGATGATGATTACGATGGAGATCATGATGGTGTCCCGATGATGATACTGCTGCTGATGCTGATGATGACGATGACTGTGTCCCGATGCTGCTGATGATGATTGTGATGATGATGATGATGATGATGATGATGATGGTGGTGTCCCGATGATGTTGATGACCGTGATGATGATGATGTTGGTGTTGATGATGAGGACGGTGTTTCGATTGTGATGATGTTGATGATAATGTTGATGATGATGTTGATGTTGATGTTGTTGTTGATGATGATGATGACGTTGATTGTAATAGCGGTTGTGATATCGATAGTGAGATCGATCGTGAGACCGAATGTGATATTGATTGTGAGATCGATTGTGAGATCGATAGTCAGATCAATTGTGAGATAGATCGAGTGAGATCGATTGTGAGAACGATCGAGGGAGATCGATCGATCGAGACCGATATTGAGATCGATAGTGATATCGATAGTGAGACCGATCGAGTGAGACGTTGGTTCCTCCCCCCCCGAACCTCCTTATCACCCGAAGGGTGGTCGTATAGGTATTTGTTATTTTCACTACTATTGCTACTTCTCTTGTATCTCTACTGCTAATATGCGTCGTCACCGCCAATCGTCGTCGTCCCCGCTTGTCGTCGTTGTCGTCGCCGCTGGTCGTCGTCGTCGTCGCCGTCCTGGCCAGTCGTCGTCGGCGTTGCCGTTGCCGTTGTCCTTGTCGTTGTCGTTGTGTTCACCGCTGGTGGTTTCCGTCGTTCTCGTCGTTTTCGTGGCCATTACCAGTGTTTTTACAACTGCGAGTATTGCTACTACCTTCATCTGCTACTAGTGGTACCAGTACCATGCCTGAGCCTGCCAGTTTACCGTAACCCCCCCGCGGACGTGAGGGGCGGGAGATGAACAACGCTCTTTTGCGCAAGTGTCACCACTTTGATGAACTCATGGGAAGCCCGGCGGAGTGGGGTCGCGCTTTCATCCAGACGAGATTGTGCGGCTCCCTGCGGGGGCTGCCACCTGCGCCTCTGCCCCCGCTTTCGTGAGCTTCTGATCGGCACGGCGGAGTGGTGAGACGCAAGCCCAGACGAGATCTCGCGGTTCCCAGCGAGGCTGCCAACTACGCAACTGTTGGTACTTTCGCTGGTCAGGGTGCTGCATATCTCCCAATGTGTCTCTGCTGTCAGGAGGACTCCTTTAAGTAGTCGCCGCGCCTGGGGAGAGGATTGTGTACCTCTCGGCCAAGTGTGATGTTGGATGCCCCCCAATTGTTTTCTGTCCATGGGGCCTGCTTCGGATCCCGAGGCCGCCAGAAAAATGGTTCCCGAGCCCCCGGGCGAGGCCGAGAGCTCCAGAGGCCCACGTCGTGACAAGAGAGGGCCGGCGTTGGAGGGCGGGGCTTCTGATATATATTCCGGGTTTGTCGGGGCGTTCGGGAGCTTCCTCGAGGTCAGAGCGTTGCAATTGTTCCACGCCGGAAGTTTTCGGCCCATTCTGGGCCCCAGGACCATCACAGATCGATTTGGCTCGAAAAATGCGGGAAGATGGGGTTTGGGATTCTGGCCGTGACGTTTCGCGATGTTACGTTTTGTCTGAACGTCGGATCTGAGGGCTGGAGATCTTGAGGGGGCAGACATCCGAGGTTACGTTTTTGTCGGTAGTTCGGCTCTCCAGCGGTCTGGGCCCCTTTCCTGGGGACCAGTTTTTCATCCTGGGTCTTCTTGCTGACGGTGCTGGGCTCCCAGTAAAGGCGCCAGTTGCGAACATGTCTGGCCCTCGTTCACGGTCGGACGCGGCTCGGAAAAGGGTGCTTGGGAGGGTCGGGTCAGGGGACCAGCTTCGAGCGGATCTTTGGTGTGGGAGGCCTTGGTTTTCCTGGGCGTCCTGAGCAAAACGAGGAGGCGCACGATACGAACATCCGAAGACATTCGTCCTTCTCCTCCTCTGACTATCTCGGGGGTATCCTCCTCTCCCCCATCCACCCCGTTTTGCACTTAGGGTTTGGGCTAGGAAAAGCGTTGTTCCTCCGCGCCTCGTCATCCCTCCGTACATCCTCTGTGTCCTCCCCCCTTCGAACCTTCCTCGTCCACCTCGTCCTCTCCGAGGACGACGACGACAACGAGGGGTACATAGTCCCTGCCGAGACCTTGGAAAACGCTTGATACCTAACACCATAAACCCTCCTCCGTCCCCTTCCCCCCCCTCTCCCTCCCCTTTGTCTGGAGCAGATGGAGGAGGAGGACGGCGACGACGGCGACGGCGGCGACGACGACGACGACCATGGCGTCGGCAACAACGACGACGACGACGACGACGACGACGACGACGACGACGACGACAGCGCCCCGAGACGCAGCCGACGGTCGAGCTTTTCGACGTCGTCGCGGGGACCTGGTCGCTGCTGGAGTCCCAACTGGTCAACCCTAGGAGGGTACGGCGACGACGTTATCGATGCAGACGCCGTCGAGGTGGTAGACGTCGAAGACATCGCCGTTGCTTAGAGGAGGGCGAATTGAGACAACGGTAGTTGGCCTTCGAGGAGGCCCTCGTCGCCACGGCTGGACGCAGCTCGGAAATCGGTTCGTTTGGACGGGGGGGGCGATTTTAAGTTGCCGTTGTGTCAATTCGCCCTCCTCCGACGCCTTTTCCTTCTCCCTGCTCTGCCTCTTCCCTGCTTCGTCCGCTGCTGGGGTCCCAGCTAGTCGACCCCAGGAGTTGACGACGTTGTCATGTTTGGAGCGACGGCATCGCAGTCGCCCTTCGCCTCATCCAGCCCCGTCAGCTGAAGGAGTCATCAATCAGAGGACGGCGGCGGCGACGACGACGACCACGACGACCACGGTGGCAACCTCAGTCCTTGTTCCTCCTCCCGACTTCTTCCCCCCTCCGCTTCCGGGTTTGCGGCGGCTGACCGGGGCGTGCGGGAGGAGGAGAAGGAGGAGGAGGAGGCAGAGGAGGAAGAGGAGGAGGAGGAGGAGGAGGAGGAGGAGGAGGAGGAGGAGGAGGAGGAGGTGGAGAGGGAAGAGCATGAGGAGGAGGAGGAGGAGGAGGAGGGATATTTGAGGACTCAGCTGGCTCTGATGGGTTCCGCGCGCTTCCCAGGGGCTCCTCATTATCCTCCATGTCGTCGTCCTCACGGTCTGTCCTCTTCCCTCCCGCTCCCCCCCATCCCTCCCCTCATTGCCGTTATCGTCTTCCGTCTTCTGCTTTCCCGTTGCCGCCGCCGTCGCGGTCTGCGTGGCTGCCGCCGCCGTGCCAGCGTCGCTTGCGGCCGCCGCCGACGGGCGCCGCCGCCGTCGGCCCTCGGAGGCGCTCGGAGGCCCTCGGCGGCCCTCGCAGGCCCCCGGTGGCCTTCGGAGGCTTTCGGCAGCAGAATTTGCTGGCCCTCGGAGGATCTCGGCGGCCTCGTAGAAGTCACCGTCGCTGCCGTCGGTCGCCGGCGGCCACGTCGGCGCCCGCGCGTTCGCAGGACCACCGCCGCCGTGGCTTCCGTGGGGCGGCATTCGCTGCTGGTGTTCGGGGGCGCGCCCTCGCTCACGAGCGCGGAGGCGCGGCGCGGGAGCGGCCAGGGGCAGAGTCGTCCCCTCCCTTCCTCCTTCTCCTCCTTCTCCTCACCCTTGTCGTCCTCCTCGTCATCCTCCTCCCCCTCCCCTCTTCCCCCCTCCTTTTCCTCCTCCTGCTCCTCCTTCGCCTCCTCCTCCTAGCCATTTCCAGGTCCCGTTGTTCTGGAGATAAGACCTCTCGCACCGCGCATTTGAGAGTGGCGCATCGGTGCGGAGCCAGCCGTTCCAATCCCATGGGGAAGCGCCGAGCAAGATCTGGGTCAGCACGCGTTCCAGTTGTCGGCTCGGCAACTTCACGTGGCCCCCCCAGTGCCGTGAATGTGGTCGGCGTGCCCCGCAGCGTGTGCTCAAAGCTCTACGCGCGCCTGGCTCGGCAGCCTGGCTCCCTGGCAGTCTCGGCCCCCAGGCGGGGAGTGGGCACTCGGCCCGCCCAACCGCGGATGTGGACAGCGGGGAACAGTACGGGACAACGGTAAAGACAGGAACGGCAAACCCAAGGCGGGAGGAAAGACGGGAACTGCGGCCGCGGCAACGACCGACCTCTCCCCCGCAACCAAAAGGAGCTCCTGGTCCGCCTGCCCGAAGAGTTCGCTAAGTCCACAGGCGAAGACCGCACTGAAGTGGTGCAGTTCGCCAAGGGCAACCTGAGGGGCTTGCCCCACAACCTATTGTCCTCTCTTCTAAGGACCTGCAGGACCTGCTCCAGGGAACGAGGTCTAAGGAAAAGCATCTCGAGTCCGCCCGCGCCCGAGGGGCCATGACAGACAAAGCTGTGGAGGATGCCATACAGACTGCCGCCGAGGCCCAGAAGCTCGTCAAGCAGCACGAGGGGTCCATGCGGAAGATTGGCGCAGCCATCCGTGAGGCTTTGGCGCGGTCAGTCATGCCAAGCACTCCCAAAGAAAACGAGCATCCTGAAGAAGCCCTGGCCAGCTTGGAGGCACTCAGCACCCTGCTGTCTCGGGCGACCCGCTACTTCGACATTGACTTCATCACCCAGCTGGCTCAAGTCTCGTCGAAGCTCGAGGACGTCAAAGCCAAGGTCGAGGCGAAGACCAAGCCCGCAGTGCTTCCTCCTGGGGCTGCTGGTGTGTCAGAGCCTGCTGCCGCTCCTGACGGCGATGGCGCCACTGATATGCCCGTGAACTTGTCCCGCGACCTTGATGACGAGGAGTTCCAGTCCGATCTCACCAAGACAGGCATTGTTGTCGACGGGGACAAGGCGGCTTACAAGCGCTTGCTGCAGGCTCTGGGCACGAGCCAAACAGCAGCGCCACGGGCGACGGCCAGCTGCCTGGGAGGACCCCACAGGCTCCGCGAGGTGACGGGGCTCGCCCCCAGCAGCGGGCAGCGGCGCAGTGGCGCCGACTGGCGGGTTCTCCATCCTGTCTGCGCACGCGCCCCAGTGGTCCTCTGCGCAGGCGTTGATGGAGCGCGCGGTTGCTGAGCCCATGTCAGCCCATCCCCTTCCCGCGCCTCTCCCTGCGCTCCCATGTGCGCCGCCATCTCGGCTGATAAGGGCCCTCGAGCAATCGCGGGGCGCCGGCGACGGACGCGCCCGCGCCCCCGCAGAAGGAAAGAGAACGCGCCCTCTTCTTGCGCGGGCCCCCCTATTTGCACCTCGTGTCTCTCTGCGCCCATGCAGTCGCCCCCGTGCAATCCCGCGCGGCAGCGGAGCCTGCGGTTGAGATCCGCGAGGGGGGTCAGGGCAGCCCCTTTGTCATTCGGTTATCGGGTGACATGCTCTTCATCGTTTCCCCGTTCTGCCCGCCCCCCACCCCATTGCACCGAGCGCCGCCAGCATCGCCTTCGAGAAAATGAATTTCCAGCATGTCAGGATCCTTGGGCAGGGGCTGGAGGACGAGAATACGTTCCTTGGGAAGGCGATGACAACGTGGGCAGGTCAGATCAGGACTGGGCCAGCTGGCCATCGCAGTCTTGGACGGAGACGCAGCCCAACGCGCGAACATCTTCATCGGGTTGGACTGCGCGGGGACGTGGTTCGCCAGCTGCGCCAGATAGGTAGAACGCGCCTCCGCGGGGACTGGTGGCGCCTTTGATTTTCAGCTACGACCTATGGGGGAGATGCCGCTGCCAGATTTTCCGATCGCCAACGGGCGCAGTTCCCTGCGCAATTGGAGGCCCCGAAGATACCAAACGACCTGCCTGCCACTTGGGATGTAAAAAGCCCGGGTACTCGCACAGGCGCTGACACGAAGGGGCCGCGTCTCGCCAGTGCCAAAACTTTGAGAACTTTGGGGGCACAGCGCTGATATCTCATCCACCGCATTGCCAAAATACTACCCCGAGATCATCGCTGACGAACTGACCGAGGACCAGCTGTCTTCAGAGGACTGCGGGCAGGTTGTGGCGAATCGCACCAAGAAGGCTTCTGCCGAGCACCAAGACCGCAGGATGCCGAATGTGTTGCAGAAGCTGATCTATCCAGGCGACGCAAAGCGTGAGCGATATGGGTCCCTGGCCACTCATATCGCGCGCAACACGTCTCGTAGCCCCATAAGGGGGCCCCACCGAAGGCAGCAGCGGATTCGTTCACATAGCGGCCCCGCCCCATTCCAGCGCACTCCTCGGACTTCGTGGACCCATAGGGGGCTCCGCCGACGGCCCCAGTGGCTGCGTTCGCAGGGCGGCCCCGCCCAACTCCAGCGCACACCTCGTGCGCTTTGCGAGCTCCACGGAAGGCGCCAGCGGCTGCGCTCGCACGGCGGCCCCGCCCCATGTCGACGCAACCCTCGCACGCTTCGCGGCCGCATATGGGGCTCCAGGGCAGGCGCCAGCGGCTGCGTTCGCACGGCGGCCCCGCCCCGTGTCGGCGCGCCGTTCGCACGTTTCGCGGCCGCATAGGGAGCTCCACCGAAGGCGCCAGTGGCTGCGTTTGCATGGCGGCCCCTCCCCATTTCGGCGCATCCCTCGCGCGTTTCGTGGCGCCAGAAGGAGGGGGCTCCACGGAGGGCGCCAGCGGTTGCGTTCGCATGGCGGCCCCGCCCCATTCCGGCACACCTTTCGCACGCTTCGTGGCCCCATAGGGAGCTCCACCGAAGGCGCCAGTGGCTGCGTTCGCACGGCGGCCCCGCCCGATTTCGGCGCACCCCTCGCACGCTTCGTGGTCCCAGTGGGAGCTCCGCCGGAGGCCTCAGTGTCTGCGTTCGCATGGCACCCCATTCCCCGTGTCTGCGCATCTCTCGGATCTTTCGCTGCCCCACGGGGAGCTTCCCCGAAGGGCCCAGCGGCAAAGTTCCCACGTCGGGCCCGCCCCACTTTAGCGCACCCTTCAAACGCCTCGCGGTTTCATGGGGAGCTCCACCGAAGGCCCCAATGGCTGCGTTCGCACGGCGGCCCCGCCCCATTTCAGCGCACCCCCCGCGCGCTTCGCAGCCCCATGGGGGGGCCCAGGGCAGGCCCAGCGGCAAAGTTCGCGTGGCGGCCCCGCCCCATTCCAGCGCACCCCTCGTTCGCTTTGTGGCCCCATGCGGAGCGCCGTCGAAGGCGCCAGTGGGTGGCTGCGTTCGCATGGCGGCCCCGCCCAATGTCGGCCCACCCCTCACACGCTTCGCGGCCCCAAAGGGGGCTCCAGGGCAGGCGCCAGTGGCTGCGTTCGCACGGCGGCCCCGCCCCGTGTCGGCGCACCGCTCGCGCGCTTCGCGGCCGCATAGGGAGCTCCACCGAAGGCGCCAGTGGCCGCGTTTGCATGGCGGTCCCGCCCCATTTCGGCGCACCACTCGCGCGTTTCGTGGCGCCAGAAGGAGCTCCCCGGAAGGCGCCAGCGGTTGCGTTCGCATGCAGGCCCCGCCCCATTTCGGCACACCTTTCGCACGCTTCGTGGCCCCATAGGGAGCTCCACCGAAGGCGCCAGTGGCTGCGTTCGCATGGCGGCCCCGCCCCATTTCGGCGCACCCCTCGCACGCTTCGTGGTCCCAGTGGGAGCTCCGCCGGAGTCCCCAGTGTCTGCGTTCGCATGGCAGCCCCTCCCCGCATCTGCGCACCTCTCGAATCTTTCGCTGCCCGACGGGGGGCTTCCCCGAAGGGCCCAGCGGCAAAGTTCCCACGTCGGGCCCGCCTCATTTTGGCGCACCCTTCAAACGCTTCGCGGTCCCATGGGGAGCTCCACCGAAGGCCCCAATGGCTGCGTTCGCATGGTGGCCCCGCCCCATTTCAGCGTATCCCTCGCACGCTTCGCAGCCCCATAGGGAGCCCCACCGAAGGCCCCAGTGGCTGCGTTCGCATGGCGGCCCCGCCCAATTTCGGCGCACCTCTCAAACGTTTCGTGGTCCCGTGGGGAGCTCCACCGAAGGCGCCGCTGACTGCGTTCGCATGGCGGCCCCGCCCCATGTCGGCGCACCCCTCTCACGCGCCTCGTGGCCCCGGAGGGAGCTGTACCGAAACAGCAGTCGCTGCGTTCGCGTGGCGGCCCCGCTCCACTTCGGCGCACCCGTCGCAAACTTTGTGGCCCTCTAAGGAGCCCCACTGGAAGGCGCCAGCGGCTTCGTTCGCATGCACCCCTCACACGTTTCGCGGCCCCACAGGGAGCCCCGCCGAAGGCCCAATTTGCAAAGTTTGCATGGCGGCCCCGCCCCATTTCAGCGCACTCCCCACACGCTCCGTGGCCCAATGAGGGTCTCCACCGAAGGCCCCAATGACAAAGTTCGCATGGCGGCCCCGCCCCATTCTGGCGCAACCGTCACAAACTTCGCGGCCCCGCAAGGAGCTCCACCGAAGGAGCCCTGTTGCAAAGTTCGGGTGCGGTACCACGCCCATTTCGGCGCGCCCCTTCCCGCGTTCTGTTGCCCGCAAGGAGCTAAGGCCCCAGTGGCTGCGTTCGCATGCGGTTCCACCCCCAGCTTGACTCACCCCCCACACACGTTTCGTGGCCCCATAGGGAGCTCCACCGAAGGCCCCAGTGGTTGCGTTCGCATGCGGTTCCACCCCTTCTTCGGCGCACTCCTCACACGTTTCGTAGCCCTATG